GATAGGCCAGGATGGAAGAACTTTCTGGACACAAGAACTTCCGAGGAGAAGGAAAGGGCGGGGGGTAGGAAGAGAAGCTGCTGAACGGAGCCTAAGTAGAACGCATGGCTCAAAAGTACAAAAATTCTTCATACATGGTGACAGTTGCACCTATTATATGACTGATATGAGTAACACTAATATGTATCCACATTAGGACAGTTCAGAGATAGGATGGGATGGTATGGATTGGTTTTACCTGACTCACGGTAGGGACCAGTGGAGGGCTCTTGTGAACATGATAATGAACCTTTGGGTTCCAAAAAATGCTGGGAAATTCTTGAGTAGCTGCAGATTTGGCTCCTCCTCAAGAAGGGCTCAGCTCCATAAGTAAGTAAGTAAGTAAATTAGGACAGTTCAATAACAAGAGACATATTTGATGAGATTGCCTGAAGATAGTCCCAAATGTGGACTGAAACATCTAGCAACTATCAATTAAAACCAAAGTGAGCAGTTTAATTGGTCTATTTATTTATTTTTTTATTGTTGTGTTGACGGCCAAATACAACCAATCATAATATACAAAAGGATGCAAACAGTGAGGACACAGAAATGCATATTATGGCATCAATTGAATTCCTTCCCTCTTCTGCTCAGCTCCTTCTAGGAATGCTTCCCTCTCCCGAGTTTATGTACGGATAATTTCGTGTGCTAAAATGTCTGGCTATGTAAACCTCATAGTGCAGAATGCAAGCGTGGTCCCACAGGCACTGACAAAAGACTAACGCTGCCTGAACATGATAACCTCATTATACATAAGAATTAGTTCAGCAAATGGACTATCTCTAGCTGTGATCCTATGTGCTTTATCCTTGATTTCTTCTGTGTCTGATACACAGACAGTCAAATGATATTCCCAGTCCTTTTCTTCCTCAGCTTTACAGATTAGGTCAACCCTATTCATATTTGTGGTACTGCCCACCTTATCTCCAAGAACAATATATTGTCACATACTTAGGGTGTGTGTGTGTGTGTGTGTGTGTGTGTGTGTGTGTGACTTATACACAGGTCTCTTATTTGATGAATTTGATTTATTGACCCCTTATACATAGCACTCGTAGCCATAAGCAATTACAGCGCTACCGCTAATATCCACACTTTACAATTCACTAGGATATGCTAAGTCTTCTCAGTGTTCAGTAGTCGTATCCTGGCAAAGGATTTACAACAGTCTCACTGTAACTGCAGCGTGCTATGATGTCTTCTTTGCACAGCCTAATTCCTTTCTTTCCACAGGATCCATGAAGATCTAAAAATGGACACAGTGCTCAGTGATATGAAAAAAAAAATTAAATACCAGATATTTAAGAAAATTAGAAAATCATACTATTGCACTAGCAGTGAACCTACTAGACGATAGCAAAACTACACATAGACTGACAACATACAACATCCTAACTCTGCCAGACAAACCTGAGTAAAATATTACCCTGTTATTGATCAGTTGCTTAGAAACTGATTCTTCTATTGTTGCATGCATGTGCTACACTTCCACAGGAACCTGTTTACTGACATCCAAAAACCCAGTAATTCTGTGAAAAAAGTAATATTTGGTATGAAGAACGTTTGTTTCAAATTAATGGAATTTAATTTACAAATTTGTTAAATATTATTTAGTCCCATGTATATCAATAAAACTACACATGCTGAGGCGGACGTTGTAGAGACACTGTTTATGGTGATCTCAAGTTGTGAAAATTCTCAAACTGATATAGTATAAGGTGTGCAACATAACGAAGATAAGTCTGAATAGCTCCCATGTGTAGCTATGCAAGTTCTTCATGATGCTCAGAAATAGTCCCCCCCCCTTCTGCATAAATACATATATGAAGTCAACTTTGTGTCCCATATTTTCAACCCAAGTAATCCTCTATTTCATTATATTAGTTGCAATGTGTTCACACATACCTGCTTCAGATATACTGGGTTTCTGCGCTGTCCATCCTCCGGTATTCTAAAATGTAGAGAACACATTTTGAAAACTGGATGTTTCTGTCATCAGGTGAGGGGGGAAGACGCCTACTCTGTTGGGTCCTTTAGAAACAGCTAACCTCAATATACCACTTTTGTACAATACTGTTAATGTCTCTACACACTTGGGCTGTAAATTCCTACTGTCAGAAAAGAAACTGGAACAAACCTTATAACTGAAAGATATTATTTCTTCTGGGCTGTGATACTGTGTAGTCTCATAGAAATTCACTATTTTGGAGGAACTGAAGAGTGAATCAGGTAACCAGCAGGGGGCAGTCAGCAAAGAAGAGCACACTGCTTACCTTTTGTCACTTGCTCAGCTTACTCTTTCGCAGCTCCATAACAGAATCTTTTATAGTATGTCTCTTAGACACAGCCGGTTCATCAAACTAAACGCGCTCAAGTCCCCAATACACATAAAACAATAAACCAAAACATTATTTTTGGCCTAAAATATTAAAAAAAAATCACCATTCTGTTTGTACTATATAGAGCGCAGCATAAATTACAAAACTTAAAATTCTCTTCGCAATACTAAAAACATATTAAAATTTCACCTTAACGATCACACATGACATAAATTTACAACAAACCCTAAAAATATATACGTCAAAGTAAGAGACAGTAAACTTTCAAACGGTCACAGTCCCGCCAGTCCTGACCGTAGCAGACAGCTTCTCCATTGCCACCATGGCCTGGAAACCCAGCGCGTTAAATTTAAGACAAAGTAGCAGAAATAACATATACATTGCGCTTGTTTACATGTTAACTTAGTACAGATGAGTTTCTTTTCTTTTTGAGTTTCTCTGTTTTAAGGCAGCGAAATACTGTTTCAATGATAAAGCTGTCAATTATGTTGGCAATGGTCACCCAAACCAATGATTATCATTAGTGTCATATAAGATACATGGTTGACTACGTAGAACATTTCATCACCACGGGATATAAGCTAGAGAGTCTCGATTGTTACCAGGGAGCGTGTCACACTGCAAGGTGACACGCGTTGCAGTACTTACTGCTGGAATCCAATATCCCTCATCATATTGTGTTGCCATAAGATATACTATGACATGAAGGCGAGAGTCGGAATGATGGAACCCAGTAGAGGCGGTCGTTGCTATGCAGCAGCTAATCAACACGCAACAATACAGGTGCTGTTTGCAGAGGTGTTTTCTGTGTGTCCGTGCAGCAGGTATATACCGAGGACCAGCAAGCAGCAGCCAGTAGTCATGAGTTGCTAGTCAGCAATGGTAGGTGGTGGTTGGCAGCCAAGGGATCCCCATTATTAGCAGCCAAGAATTGTAGTACAGAGAGAGTTGGAGAAATATTTCCTGGCTGAAGAGAAATCATGGTGAGGGTTTTATTCTTGTTTGGACGAGAGGGAATATATTTACCTTCATCTCTCGATATACCAGCCCAGAGAAAACAAATATGTTACGAAAAGATTGTGCTAATTTTCATAATCCATATTTTAGTAGATTGCTGTAGGCATTGTAGCAGTTTAGCGTATTGTGTATTAGAATGATAAATTCAACAAAAGTGATGTGCTTAGGTCATGTAGCATTGATGTGAGTATGAGAAACACATAGCCCTTCTGGACATGAGTGTATTAACAAAATATGATCAGATTGAACCCACCTATCTAGCACAGAACGTTGTAACATATATCTCTTTACACTCTGTATATCTTCAGGTTTGACTGAGAGAAAATGCTGCCTCCAACATTTCCTTTGTTGTTATCCTACTTTCCTTGTATGATTTACTGTTGCTAGGCAATGGCTTGGCTTCTAGGCAGTGCAGTTAGTTGTTCCCAGAACTTCATGTTCTAAATAAGTAAGGTGGGTTAAAAACGAGGCTTACAAGATTACCTCACTTTCTTTGTGTCTGCATATGACTCTCCCCAAATTAGCAGAACTGTAAACACATCCAGCAGCAAGTACACACAACAATAGAAGAACTGTTTAGATTCAATATATGGTCCATGTCATATCAGATACTCAGTATCTAGTGAAAGGGAAGTGTGGAACTTTTTCTTCTCAGAAGTTCATGTATGTAGTGTGAATGAATAGCCATGATACATACAGCATTGGTTGTTTTACAGAATCTTACGGGCTCAAAGAAAAAACGAGATCTGCATAGTGAGATGTCAGGAGCATGTTCTCAAGATACATATCAGGCCATCAGTGTAAAATATGAGGTATTATCAGATGCAGAAGCAGAGGAGGATCCTGACCCAATAAAATTTCCAGGAACAATTATTGAACCTGAGGTAAGCCATGTCTCTGTGTTCACGTTAGGCAGATTTCACAAACACAGGTATCCCTCGTTTTACAAAATTTTGCTGCAGTGAACGTTCATAAGAAATTATTAGTGAAAACAGAGAAGTATATGCAAAGCACCACCTGCCTGCATCTCCCACCATCCCAGTCTCTGTCAACAGGCCTTGTTCTGTTCATACAGGATCAGCTGTGCTCCTGATGCTTACATTTTGTCCATAAATATCTGTTATTTGTACTCATCATGGCTCCCTAACAGGAGAAAGTGGTTTTGAGAGTTGTTTGTAAACCAAGGAAAGTAAGGAAAGCAATAGGTTTGGCTGCAGAGCTGGAAATAATAAAAGGGATTGAAGGACAGTGATATAAACACAAATACAGACATGATAATGAAGCTGCTTTTTTCGTTGCATCAATAAATATCCAAAACAAGCGATACTCCTCTCATTTTAATGCCTACTTACTACTAAAATATATGGTAAGAAAGTCTTGGTACTTCTCTGTGACTCATGAATAAGCTGGTGACTTTTACATTTAAAGTGACGGGAATATCAATTTTAAATTTTACATTTTTCATTTTACAACAATTTTTCATGGAATAAATTGCCTTTGTGATATGAGGAATACCTGTATGCAGAATTGACTTTTCTTCCTGATTTCCATCTGCCTCTGCACATGAAGCAACTTCAGTGTGGTCACTGAATTTTGAATAGCATTTTCTAAAATTGTCTCAAGACAATTGTTACTCTTGAATGTTACTTGTGGTGTACCATTTCCCTTTCCTCTAGAAGAAATCTGATATAGTACTTGAAATTAAATATTGTGCAAACAGAAATTCTATGGCAGCTAAAATCTTCCACGATTTCCTTATCCATCCAATCTAGTAAGCTGTGTTTTGGTACTACATTGTAGGGTTCACAGGATCTATGAACATTCAATACTGTAATTTGTTTGTTTTTTGGCTTTGATGCAATCTGCATCCAAATAATAAGAGAGAGTTTTCATTATGCTGAGGATCTGTAACAAGATAAAAATTTATTCTCTAAAGATCTGTGACAGTGGTTGACAGATTATATTCATATGTTGGACATTGCCCATTCTGTGCAGTATATTAATATACCTGACACTTTGGGAGTTGCCTGCCTTTGGTTTATTGCCATTGTACTGATATATTTTATATTACTCTTTTACACTGAGGTTAGTGACATGAGTTGGGATGCAGCATTGGCCCTTCCAGTAAGCTACACACTTCATCCCACAGCTGAAGACCATGGTAGTCACTAAAGTGGAAGGGAAAGATTTGTCGAGCTTTCACAGCTATAACAGCCTAGGTTTGCATATGAGTGACAGAGAGCGCAGTTTATTACTATGCAAGCAATGGATCCGAAACCCTCAGAAGTATTCAGGCCACTGCACTGGATTTTGGTGCACAGAAAAATGTCCTCCACACTTGCCCAGTACAGAAAAGAGAGTGATTTTAGTGTAAGCAGAGTTGCCAGATGATCAATATTAGAGTCAATTTTACCGACCACACAACATATTATTATTATTACACTACATGTTTCGACCTCAAGAGGTCATCCTCAGGTGTACGAACACAGCTGTATAATTACACGCAATCACATTCGTCTTCTCACTTATTCGATCCTGTATCTTATTCAGGCTCACGCTCAATAATATATCAAGCTCTGTCATAAAACACAAGTTAAAATTGTTCTAAAAGTCAAAAATTAAAATTTAAATTTAAAATTGTTTAAAATTGTTGTCGGCCAAACAGGACGTAATTTCCGAACAAGATATAAAGAACACATCAGGGAAATAAAAACGAACGGGCAGAAATCAAAATTCACCCAACATATACTGGACACAACGCACAATTACCATACCATAGACAAAACAATGGAAATACTCCACATAGAAAAGAAAGGAAAAATGCTGAACACACTAGAAAGCTTCCACATATATGAATTAACTAAGCAAAACCTACAAATGAATGAAGCTTTAACTGATAGTTACAACCCAATTTATGATATCCTAATAAAAACAAATCAGATGCAAGAAATATAATATATCCCAAAACCACCTACTTATCCTCTCAGAACACCACCCCTACCCCCCCACCACCACCACCACTAATACCCTACAGGAACCAACCGAACAAGTAAGACACATCAGTAGCCATCATGACATGGACCGTAACAGATCCACAACTTCAGAAGACGCAGTAGAACAGCAAGACCTCAAAAAGTGAAAAAGTGCAATCGATAATAAAATTGAACTTTAATTCATGAACGTTTAATCAATAATATAATTAAACTAGTTAAAGTGAACTTGACGCAGTGATGAATGTAAGTAGGAAGTGACTGAATACAAGTGAAAGTGAAAAGCATAACAAGTGACCTGAATTGAAATTCGATTCACAAACTTTAAATTTTTTAAACAATTTTAAAATTTAAATTTTAACTTTTGACTTTTAGAACAATTTTAACTTGTGTTTTATGAGAGAGCTTGATTTATTGAGTGTGAGCCTGAATAAGAGAGAAGACGAATGTGACTGCGTGTAATTATACAGCTGTGTTCGTACACCTGAGGATGACCTCTTGAGGTCGAAATATGTGGTGTAATAATAATAAAAAATATGTTGTGTGGTCGGTAAAATTGACTCTAATATTGACTAAATACACAACAGGATGCAAGAAACAATTAAAGTTGCCAGATGATGGTCACATTGAATCTTAAACTACAGGGGACCTGTGTTTGAAGCAAGATCTTGGATATGATGCTATGGATATGTTAAATCAGTGTTGCCTCTACTGTTACTGCCTCGTATCTTTAGCCACAGTAGAGGGATCATACCATCTCTCACGGAGTGGGGGGGAGCAGTCTTGTCAGCCTACGTCAGCATGGGTACTACCAGTTTGGAATGTAGTGTCTTGGAGTGTGGTCAGGTGTATAGTACTACTCCTGGTCTCCGTAGGCAATGTTTTCCGCTTGGGGAGTAGCTTTTAATGGCCCTACAACAGCATTTGCCTTTCTGAGCGGATAAAGTTACCAGGCAGTAACAGTACTCTGAGTTTGCCTAAGATGTTCAAGGGCCCACTCAACTGTATCACCATGTATACTGATGAGTTGTTTGAAGGAGGTGACTGCTTGTACCTTTGTCAGTGGAGACCAGGTTTTCTTCTACAGTTGCTATAATGCTCACAGCCTTTACACGGCCATCCTCTGTGACATACAGAAATGTTTCCTGTAACATCAGCTGTTTAATTATGATCTTGTACAGAAACTGTCATTGCTTTGCAGTTTCCATATGGTACCCACAATATCATCTGGTTATCAATATATTGCATAAGTGTCCCAAGTCCACAGACAGTACACAGACAAAGCACACCATTAACTATAGCAAAAGATGGACAGACAGTGAAGCAGCAATATAACATCAGTCATGTTCACCATGAACTCTACATAGAAATAGTAACACCAATAGGAGCCAGAATATTTACAAATTATGCGTTCCACCAGCAATATTAGGTATGCAAAGAACATTCTCAATTATAGCAACTTTGAGATATTATGTAAATATTACTGCTAGAAATAAATGTCTACTAAACAATCTCCTCTTCAACAGTAAGCCTTTGTCAATGGCCCTAGACAGCTGAAACGTGTAGGGCACATTAAGTGAAGTCTTATGTTATAATTCATGTTTCTTATTTCTTAATTATTCACTTTTCTTATGTGGCATGTCTTCAAACAGAGAGTGAATGACAATGTTCCAAACTCTACTGTGTCCTAATCCACTCTAAGATGGATTATGGAAGCTTCACACAATGAAGTCCAGACTGTCGTAAATCCTGTCCAAAAACACTATGATCTGTCTTAACACTTGTGCCTTCTGCACCAGCTGTCTTGAGATTGTACATGTGAGGAATCTGGAGAACCTCCAGTCTTCATGTAGAGGCATGTCTTGTTCTGTACTCATTTGGTGAAGGTGGCAACATAGCCCCATCCTTCTTCTTCCAGTGTGTGTTTCACCATACCTACCACAGTAGCTTTCTTCCTGAATGCCTTAGTTTTCTAACTTGAATGAGTACACCTTCAATACTTTCTGTATTTTGACAATCACATCACCCATCCTCTAAACACGCTATGTGTAATACATCGAGTCACTGTTATCTGAGCTTTTGATATACATTTCTCTGCACCTACAGGCCAAAATTAGTTAAGACCATATGTTAGAATTCCCCACATTTCTAGGCATCACTTCAGTTTGCTATGAATTTCTCAACAGGAAAGGATTCCCATCTGGAGTCCATGTGCCATTATTGTTCAAATGTCCTGCTCATATCCCCCCACCCTATCCCACCTCACATGCAATTCCCTCCACACCTTCAGTGCATTATGTACCACAACCTGTGCTCTGTGTGCCCTGGGTTTTATGCTATTTTCTCTGTGATTGTGTTAAAACTTCACTGCCTTGCTGCAGTCATGAGTGGAGAACACAGTTGTAGAACTGTTGCCTGCAGGAAAAAGCATACCAGTTTGCAATATTCACGTGAAATTAGATGTTTATGTTGCAAGAAAAGATCCAAGCGTGCCATAGACATTTCACATGGTATTCAGATTCCTGAAATGATGATTCATACTGATTTCAAGAGTGCACAGGAAATTGAAACAAAGGCTGTAACTAGTTAAACTATTCAAAGTTGGAAATTACACAACAAATACCACGTATGTGATGTGATGGAGGTTTTGCAGTGGCATCTTGCAATGTAGATCGAGAACGTTATCAACATGCCCCCTTAAGCCAAGCCGTCATCCCAGAGAATGCTGTAAGGTTAAATGAAGGCTGTGACGGAGGAAATTACATAGCAAAAGAGGCAGGATTCCAGAAGATTAGTGAAGGTTGGAATCTCATTCTCTGATATTAATCAATGAGAAAGTGGCAGGGTTGGACAGGCAAATGTATAAAGAAGCACAGGATTACCATGGCAATGATAAGAGTGTGACTTCAGAAGAAAATACCTTGACAATTAAAGGGTGGAACTGAAACCATCAGCAAAATTAACGAGACTGTGGATTATTTTGGAACCATGATCCTCCTCTGTATTCATTCTACCAAGGTTGAATTTGAACTGAAAGATGTGCTGTCATGCTATGAAGACATTTTACAAATAGAAATGCGAACTGGAAGTCTTCCAATTTTCACCGTGTGCATGTGTATTGGTGTGCACGCGTGCGCACGCACGCACACACACACAGAATATAAAGTTACTGTTTGGTATATTTGGAAGGTAAACCGTTTGAGAAGTTAAGGTAGTAATATGTTATTTATGAAAACAAATGTTATTTTAATACAGAATCATCATTAGTTCATAATGATTATAGGAGTTGTTTTTTGATGTGATGAATAAGGATTCCTTTTGAAAACATATCATGGATGACTTGTTAACTTCTCTGGTTATGGTTATATGAGTAGGCTTCCAGTACACTTTTGTGGCCAATTTAGGACCCTGTTATCTTCACTTGTTACTGCAACACATGTGAACTGACAAAGTATAACAAATTGCAGTCAGTGCAGCGATGTGTTCCAGTGTGGCAGTCATTCAGCTCAATCACGAAGGAGGCAATCATGCTTATATGCCTTCAAATTAGTTACAATTGCCTGATGCATATGTGCCTGTTGCAAGGTGCCCCCACATCTGCTTTTACTCATACACAGTGTGGTATGCCCATTACCATTTTACACATCTGGAAGGAGTGGCCATTTTCAGACAAATGCCAAACTTTTTCATGATCAGGGAACATTGCATGGCATCCTGATTGTCACATTCTTCTGTTCAAAAAAATGTTGTCGCTTCAAGGATTTCACTAGGCCATATGCAGCCTGTGTTAGTGACATTTCTTAACTCAGCATTTACTGTTGTTTCATATTATGGTCTTATCTGCTATTAATCAGACCTGTGTACAGCCTTACAAATGCATAATATTATTTAATTCTGTAATTTGTTACATAACTTTCATTTGCTTACAGTCAGCCATGTAAACTGATGGACACACATGCACACATTTGCATGTGCTCACTATCTCTGTCTTCTACCCCCTTAACTCCTCCATGTACTTGGATTTCAAACTTATTTTTCTTCATAAGAGGTTATTCATGTCAGTTCTTGTTTTACAGATTATTCTTCATGAACTTCAACCATTGTTTGGTGAGGAGCGGCCATATTTCTGTGGAGTCTGTAATAAATCATTCAGTCGTCAGAGTAATCTGAAGACACATCTGCGCATACATAGTAACGAGAAGCCATTTTGCTGTGACGTGTGTAATAAGTCATTCAGTCAGCTGAGTAATCTCAAAACACATCGAGGCACACATAGTGATGAGAGGCCATTTTGCTGCGATGTGTGTAATAAGTCATTCAGTCATCACTGTACTCTGAAGACACACCAACGCATACATAGTGGGGAGAGGCCATTTTGCTGTGATGTGTGCAGTAAATCATTCACTGCACAAGGCAATCTGAAGGCACACCAACGCATACATAGTGGGGAGAGGCCATTTTGCTGTGATGTGTGCAGGAAGTCCTTCATTCAGCAGGCTAATCTGAAGGCACATCAACGCATACATAGCGGGGAGAAGCCATTTTGCTGTGATGTGTGTAATAAGACATTCAATCGGAAAGTTAATCTGAAGACACATCAACGCATACATAGCAAGTACAGGCCATTTTACTGTGATGTGTGCAATAAATCATTCAATCAGCAGTGTAATCTCAGCGCACATATACGTACACATACTGGGGAGCGGCCTTTTTTCTGTGATATGTGTTATTTATCATTCAGTCATAACTGTAGTCTGAAGAGACATCTACTCACACACAGTGATATATGTAGTAAATCATAGAGCAATAATGGCGGGTTTAGACTAAGGGAACAAAATAACATTTGTAGCATGCCACACTGTTGCTTGCTAAAGCAGAGAGAGGGGGAAGTGCACACATCTAACTTTGAACTGTTCTAAAATGTTATTCATTATGATTTTTCCAATTTTAAACATCTGTCCACATAGAAAATTTAAACTGACAGTAGCATGTACAAGCAACAAAAGCAACAAGAGAAAAAGTGTTACTAGTTAGAAACAACAACCATACTGTCACGTGTATTAGTGATTGGTAGATGGGGTTTGGATTGGTGAATCGATTTATTGAATGTTCTTGTTGTAACTACACATAATTATAACATTCTAAAAATTACTATAATTATAACACATAAACTAAAGTCACCAATATCTGCTTTAACTAGTCATTGCTAGGTAACAGATCTCAACAATGGCCATGCCTTTACAATGTTTTCACTATCCGTTTCCTGGTAACGGATTTTAACACAGGAACAACCACTTCAAATCTGTATGATGTCTTTTTCAACCAAATTCTCCAGTGCTAATTCTCTGTCTCAAACTCGCTGTACACCTGGAATCACCAGGTCCAAATTCTGAATTCTGTATGCCATTGTATTACCATTCTCTTGATGCTGTTGTTCCTTCAAACTGGTTTCCTTATATAGACGTGACATGGACATGCATCACAGAAAAGACATGTTATGTGATCACTATGCAGCCAGTCCATTTGCATGCTGGCTGCTGCCTAGCAAGTTCTTGGCATGGACCTACAGAAACACATCATGTCACTGCTGCCCTCTGTTGTGTGATGTCATCACGCATGTGCAAGCTGCACAGACACAAAGAAAAACTGCTATTGTATTGTTGGCCGCATGTGTTACGTTTGTTGCCTAGCAGTCGATTTACATGTAACAATACAAAATCTAATATTTACCCACCTATGTGTGGCAATCGAGTTTAGAAATACTGTCACGTGTTCATGGCTGCATGACCAATAGTGTGGCGGTATAATTTCTTCTGTCATCTTCAATCCAATAATTTGATCTAATCAATCATTCAATCCAATTCCACTTCTGACACCAAAATATCATGTGTTTATGGCTGCATGACCAATAATAATGGGTTCTGGATTTGATGATTGGAGCTATCAACACCTTTCATAATCTCTTTTAATTGCTATCAATTATAGTGCTATCACTAAACTACCCACTTCACAAATCATTAGGACATGCTCCATTCCCATCCTCCGTTCTACTCGGTTGTACTTCTTTCTGTGCCCTCTTATAATTCCTTGGCATGGCTCCCAAGAAAAACGCCTTTCCTGTTCTCAAGAATGTGTGTTATTGGCCTGCTACCTAGCAATGAATACATGCAAACCACATAGAAAACACCTCTTGTGACCAGGTTCTGTTGTTGTGTGTGTATTTTGGGCGTTGCCTAGAAATGGGTCTGCTTGTCACAATATTGTCATATATTTGGATTAATGTGACTAATAATAATGGGTTCTGGATTAGATTATTGGATTTATTGAACACTCACAAGTCATAACTACAAATAATTGTAACACTAAAGATTACTATAACTATAACACACAAAATGAAGTCTTCAACGTCTGCTTGCTAGTCAGTGCTTGGTAACGATTCTTATCTGGTTACCCATGCACAGCTGAATACTCAACTACTGAACTGCCGTCTGAATTCTCAGACGAATGAATTATGACTCTTTGAAGAATCTCTTGACTGAAATCTCCTGGACCAAACTCTCAATTGACTCAGTTATTCTGGGAACCTCATTATATAGCTGTGGCACAGAACACAGAAAACACCTTCTATTATTCTAGAGACATGTTACCATGCAATTTCCTAGCAAACAGTATGGGCACTTAATGTTGTAACCGTGTGTTTAAAACTCTGTTTTCTAGCACTGGGCATGGCGCAGACCACATTGAAAACACCTTCTGTTGTCAGAATTGTAACGTAACATAGCAAATAGTTGTAGCACGGCCCACAGAGAACGCAGCTCCTACTGTTGTGTGTTTGCTGGAAAGTGTATACTGAGTCGGTGCCTAGCAATGATCATATTTGTCACGTATTTGGTGTTAGTGTGGCAAATAATAATGGGTTCTAGATCAGATGAATAGATTTACTGGACACATACAAGTCATAACTACAAATAATTATAACACTCTAAAGATTAAATTATGTATTACAATTATACTACAGTCTTCAACATCTGCTTACTAGTTGGTGATTGGTAACGAATCTTATCTGGTTAACACCTCAGTTGTTGAACTGCCTTATGAAAGACTTTCTCATTGCCTTGAATAACGTCTGCCTAAATATGCATCTCTGGAATTCAGGAATCAACTGCCTTTTGTAACTGCCACATGGCCCTGATAGAAATCACCATGTCCAAGGGTTCCTCTGTTCTGGTGCATTGTCACAGGAATGTGTTTGTTGACATTCGTTGCCGCGGGAAGAAGTGTTTACCTAGCCGTTGTCCAGCAATGGACGTCTGCTCCAACTCCAGCAGTCCTGCTTTCAGCCATCATGTCAAAACTTTATGGCTGAAACATACTACAAATTTCAAAAGTACACAGCATAAGAACATAAAATAATTATTTTTAAGTAACTGAAACCATTACATGTAGCTACAATTTAAATTTACTGAAGGAGTAGGAGGGAATTGCAACCTCTTTGTTAGGAATCTTCTTCCGCTCCACTATATGTTCTTTTTCTCTTGAATCTGTCTCCAACTTCTCTAGATTTGCCTCCATTGCATCTTGGCAGGCTGTCGTCTCTATGTATGTCCATTTCGGGTTTGCTTTTGGCCACTATCTCCTTGTGGCTGGCGTCCATCATTTCTCACCTGGCGACCATTATTTTGTCTCACATGGCGGCAATCTCTTCTAGCCAGACTTTCATATTGGCATCCATCTTTTCCCGCCTGACGGTTATCCTTTCCTCTCATATGGCAGCAATTCTTTCTTGCCAGGGTTTCGTATTGGAATCGTTTTCTTGCCTGGCGGTCAATATTTTGTCTCGTATAGTGACAACCTCTTCTAAAAAGGCTTTCCAATCAGCCAGCAACTCTTTGTGGCCAGCCTCCTTCAGCAGGAGTTCCATCATCTGCTGTGACTCCATTTTTTGTGGCAGTATAATACACTATGCACAATAATTCGCTCTAATTTGTAGCGTGTTATGTTTGTAGACACTTCTGACACCAAATTGTCAACTCTCATGTTGCATGCATGCCCTGAAGCCTCTGTGGTTCAACAGTTCCTGCATAGAGCCAATACGCCACAATATTTTCACGTGTATTAGTGACTACAGATGGGGTTTGGATTGGTTAAAAACACATCTTCTGTTAGAATGCGTGTCTATTGGCCTGTTGCCCAGCACTAGGCATGGCACAAACCACACAGGAAACATTTTTTCCAATATCTTTGTCTCTCTCTCTCTCTCACACACACACACACACACACACCCCACCAGAGCAATATGCTAATGAAAAGCACAGCATGATTCAATCCCAGCAACTCTGTTGCTAACTCAGCCGTCACAGAGGCAGGCCAGTGGACTCACAAAGTAGATTCTAAAGGGATCTGACAATGGTGTGTATAACACTTAGAATTACTGGTGTCTTTGAACTCTGTCTATCTTATGGCATTCTAAAATCTTGAGAATACAACGTTTCAGAAACTGAATCTGTTTCAGTCCAAAGATGAGGTGGGAGACACATACTCTGTTGGATCCCTTAGAAAGAGGTAAACTCAATCACTGAACAACCCATGTCAGTGTAGCTATGGCTATATAAATACCTGAGACTTTGTCAAAGGGAGATAACAGGATAGCATGCAATAAAAACTGTGATAAAGCATACCCAGACCTGAAACTAAGATAGAAAAGGAGGTGAAAATTTTATGCAACAACCCTGCCCAACAAGTTAAGAGTATTCATTCATCAGTAATCTGTATATACTTAATAAAACCAATAATTTTAACCAGAGATATATAATATTTGGTTTAACTCACAGTGCATATGTTTATCAGCACTAATGACTCATTCTGCTATCGGCAGTTACAGCAGCAATCTGTGAGAAATGTTGTGTCTGCTCTATGCTTCTATCAGGTTTCCTTGATCATTGAACATCCTGTACCTCAATTAGGCCACAACTGCTTCCTTCCAAATTCATTCCATTTCATTGTTCATCCATCATCCTACCATTCAATGCTATATAATCTAGCTACTGACAGCATCAAAAAATAATGGACAAAAAAAATGCAATTCCATCTTAATGTATCTAGAGATGAAGCTCCAAGCTTAAAGAGAGGATATGAAAATGTGCCACCTGGTCAGTGGCATTGCACACCTCAGGTGGAGGAGAGGGGGTCATGGATATGAAGAAATGGTGGAATGATGACTTTAAGGAGATAGATCAGAAACTTTGGTGGAAAAAATCTTTATTGAGATTTCATCTGCCACAGATCTCACATGAAGTCACCCAAAACAGAACCTGAAACTGTCCAGCGTAAAGCCACTGCCTAATGCTTGGGCTATGGCATTATTATATTATACAATACATAGTCATTTGACTTTGAATATCAACTGTCATGATGCATGTGTCATTTGGTAGATATTTTTAAGAATTTCAGTAATGAAAGTTGAGCAAGGAAGTGTCCTTGTGTTTTCTTGGATTTACTGTGATAATATAAAACTTTCATATACATAATATTATAAAAACATGTTTATGACCTAACATACATTGTCCTAATCATGCTGTAACTGTTTTAGATATGAAATAAAACAACTGAAGTTGTTTCTTTGTGACCAAAGAAAATTATTTGGACAGTAAACGTTGGTCACTGATGCTGTAATGCCTCAGGTATTACCAACTGCCTGTTGATGACAGCAGCAGTTTCCTTCTTATCCAGCATTGTCACATGGTTTCCAGGCACGAAATGTACCTCCGCTTTCTCACACAGCTGTAAACACGCAACACTTGGCTGAGTGCATGGCCACTTCTCTTTTGAGACAAATAATATGTAAGCAGATAATTTAACTGTCACATATTACATGCATGCTGTTATTTGCTAGGTAATCAGGATGTGGATATCAAGGAAATATTTTATTTATTCCCTTGGGAACAGACCCTCCAGTATCCATTTAATAGGTGGCTCAGTAGCCTCAAAGCATGGATCTTGGGATTAATGGACAATACTCTACCCCTGCCAGATATTAAACCTTGGTTGTCTAGTCCATAGATAGACATATATTTACTGCAATATTTCAGCACTTGGTATGGAGGTAACGCAACAGAGATCAAATAACTCTGGTCCAAGAAAACCAGGTGAGATTGGAATTGAATGGGACATATCAGCTTCTGGTCTATGCTGATGGTAAAAATCTATCAGGAGATATCATAAATAACATTAACAAAAGCACAGTACCTCTAACTGATGCTATTAAGGAGGTTGGCATAAAAGTAAACGCAGAGAATACTAAGGATATGTCAATGTTATGACACCCAAATGTAGAGTAAATAANATGTTATGACACCAATAACATCAAGATAGCTAACACATCCTTTTAAAAACGTGGCAAAGCTCAAATATTTGGTAATTAAATAACTGGAGGCTGGAGAAAATTGCATAATGAGGAGAAAGTCACAATTTGTATTCCTTGCAAAAGACAGAATTATCTAGTCAAAGAGGATGAGATGGGCAGGGCGTGCAGCATGCATGAGAGAGAAGAGAAAAGCATAAAGGGCTTTATTTTTGTGGAAAAACCAGAAGGAAAGAGACAAATACAAAAACCCAGGAAAATGTGGTAGGATAATACTAAAATAGATAGGGCTGCGCCATAGCTCAAGTGGTTAGTCACTGGCTTCACACTGCGGCAGCCCGGGTTCGATCCCGGGTCTGGTCAAGTTGGATTTGTGGTGGACAAAGTGGCGCTGGGGCAGGTTTTCTCCAAGTACTTTGGTTTCCCCTGCAAATCTTCATTTCACCAATTGCTCCACAATCACCCTCACCTATCATCTGGGGCTGGTACAATAGGCCAGAAGTGGCTGCAGTACAAGGGACTTAGTCCCACCCCACTAGCAATAAAAAAATACTAAAATAGATCCATGAGAAATAGCTGGAATGGTATATATTGGATTATCTGGCTTAGCTTAGGGACCAGTGGAGGGCTCTTGTGAACTCAGTAATGAACCTTTGGGTCATAAAATGTTGAGAAATTCTTCAGTAGCTGAACAACTGACGGCTTCTCAAGAAGGACGAGGCTCCATGAAGTTAGTTAGATAACATAACTTGAAATTGAGAATTCACAAATTTAGAATTAGAGGACAGAGTAAAGCATAAGAGAAATTCCCACCTTTGAGAGTCCATAATCTTCCTCTGCTTCAAATGCTGCTGAAGTAGGCCTCAGAAGAATAGTATGAGACTTGATTCTCTTACTGGGGTTCCACTCATAGACTGCAGCAGCCTTTAAGCGATACATGATCATCTTAGCAACAGCTATATAGTGCTGAGCTCTCTCTTTTAACACAGGAAGTGAAGTGAACACATGATCTGCCTTCTCGTCCCAGGTCTTCATAGGCGTAATCTCCTGAGTCAACTGTGAATGTGCACATAGTAAGCATTAAATGCTGAAGCATGGGTCAACAAAATAATACTGAATACTACATTAACATAGGCAAATAGGGGTATAAACTATAACAAACATTTCTTGACCATTTCAGATCAACATATATAATAAATGCATGTGCTTCACAATATAAAATTCTAGCTTACTAGAATTTGCAAGTATTCAAGAGCTACAAGCCCTACAGATATTGCCTAAACAGGGTGAGTTTCTTTTGACACTGTTGTTTCTCAAGTTCATGGCTTCATTGATTTTGTGATATTGTGCAAACTGTGACATGTATGATTCAGTGAATGACATGATAAGCAATGACCTTACTCATAAAATGGTCATAAGATCTCATAGCCTTCACAATGTCAAGTTACTGAAAACATACTAAAACTACAGCAAAATGCATATTGCTACAAGACCCAGTAAGTTAAGAGGAAAGTCAAGACATGCCAGTATTAATAAGTTTTAACATTTCTGAGAGAACATACCTTACTGACAGCTGCTGCTGTAGCTTCATGTGGTGCAATGACACTGAACATTCTGCATAAGAGANTGACACTGGTCTCGAACTTCTTCTCATCGCTACCCACCACATGTTTGACTAGTAACTTCGAGAATTCTGGAGCACTATCCACTAGGTACAGCTGTCCCTCCCGCCCCTCTGCCTCTAGTTCCAGGGCCAGTTCCAGTGCCAGCAACCCTCCAAATGAGTAACCCAGTAAACTGAATGGTGCCCCTGGTGCTAGCCTGCTGTGTATGTGCTGCAGGTAAAGAGCAGTATGACATCACATGATGTTATTTTCCCTCTGTCACGCTTACTTTGTAGTGTTAGGGCAATCATAATATGATTTAACTATTTATTCATTGTCCATTGCTTAGCAACCCAATAAGCAAACAGCAATAGAGAAGCTATGGAAACAGAGGTTTATCTGTGGTTTATTCCTAAATTATATAAGAACAACAGAGTTTCAGTTGAATGGGTTGCCGAGAGTGGAAGAATTGATTGGAGCAGCAGAGAGTTAGGTGTTGCAGTTAGTTAGAAAAACGAACAGCAGACAATTTCTGCACAATGTTACCACAGTAAGCTGTAAGTAGTGAATTCACGGCCTTCTCTTCTTTGGTGCCACAATTATGAGTGAAGCCTGTGGCTTGGCAGTGGGCCTGTGCAGGTCAATTGCTTTGTAGTTTCTGTATATAATAAACTATTATAATAATATAGGTGGTAAGCCATATGATTGTTAATGTATCCAAACCAAAATTACAGAAGATATGGTTAAACCTGACTGAATTTCTGAGGTTGGGAAATGAAAACACCATGCAACAAAATCCTGATGCTGATGCTGTCATGGAATGTGTATTGAACCGTGTCACGGTTCTTTCGGTGTAGGATCTTTGGATACCGTCTCTCTCTCTCTGGCAACTACGTACGCTACGACGCGGAGCTGATCCCTTTCCCATCAAGTTCCTTGCGTAACCTAGAGGTCACGTGCTTCCCCTTCCCTCTTGTCCCGACACGAGCTACGTTTACAGACNATGACTTGGTAGCAGTTCTCAAAGACAGCACCACCAAAGGGGAAACAGTCAAGCCACAGTTACTACAACTCCACCCACTGAGGAATTCTGTGAGCAAAGAAGACAAAAGCAGAAACCTACAAATAATGCTGACAAAAGAGCTAAGTAGCCCACAACATCCACCATGGGAGTCAATGACCCATAACTGCAGTTCAAGCCATATGTTCCCACGTGGAACTTCTTTCCCTACAGAGGTGGGAGGCTGACCACAGAGACAATGCAGATGACAGCAACATCAGTAGCCTGCCTCCTATTGCATTAACCTCTGAAGTAAATCTGATAAAATTGCAAAGGCAACTGAAGGGCTTACTCAAAGGCAAATCTGAGTTCCATAATGCCAGAAATAAGGACACAGTTGTCACGAAAGAATTGGTGGATTTTTCAGCCATTTGCTCTCACTTCAACAGCAAGAACCTCTCATACTTCACCTTCTATCCCAAACCTCAGAAGTCTATAAAGTCTCTGACATGGTATCTTCCAGGCTCAGTTCCTGCAGAGGACATATCAGATGGGTTGGTAAACCTTGGCTTTGATGTTATTAGCATCAAAAAAATATCTACCACCCATCGATCACCCGCAGAAGGAACAACTACAGTAAATATTTCCCTCTTCCTTATAGCCTTACCTATGATGTCAAAGTCCCATGAGATATTCCAACTGACGAGCCTCTGCATAATTGCAATCAGTATAGAGGCATACAAAGCTCAGTGTTACAACAGCCAACAATTTGGCCATGTCTGGGCTAACTGCAAGCAATCTCTTGCTCTATGTGGTGTGGGGGCCATCACCTGAGCAAGAGATGCTTGGAAAAGGGCAATACACAACTGATACCAACATGCTGCAACTGCAAGATGGTGGATGAAGAGGAACCTCATCCTTCCAACTACTGAGGCTGAAGGCAAGCCAAGCAAAAGATGTGAGAGAGAAAGTCACACACCCAAGACTGCAATGGGATGGGTGTTCTTTTCCAGGCTCAGCACCCCAGGTCTATCCTTCATGGCAGTGCTATGCAGCAAGACACAGCAGCAGCAGTAGCCTCAGCCATCCTCAGTTGCATAGGCCTGCCCCACCACAGTAGGAGAAATGAGCAACCCCCTCACTTGAGGCACAACCAACAAGTACCAAGTCAGTCAGTTCAGGCTCCTAATACAAGAACTTCAGCCCTGAACATGTTCAAAGTAGCTGCAATGATATTTCAGTAGGAAGACAGGCTAATGGGAATCATTAGAAATTGTATTAAAACTCTTGAAGAAAATAACCACTAGAGCGCACAGATAGTAACTCTGAGTGTGTTGGCGAAGAGCCAGTAGCAACTGTAAACGAAAGACCCATCTACTAGTCAGAAGGGACACCCCACAGCAACAAACCCACAATTGTCTGACAATAAGGAAAATCAAAACGGTCTGATTGAAAGTTGATGATAACATAATTTTGACTTTGGATTCAATGAGTTGCAAGTTAGTCACCAGCCAGTGAGGACAGGTTGAGCGTGAAATTGGTTTAGGGAATCCACATTCTTAAAAGCCACTACCAAGCAATGAACACGTGAAGACAAAGCAAACTGAGAAGACCTGACCTGTGTTGTTGTGATATGTTAAGCCTGTAGATTAGTGAGTGTCTTAAAATTATTAGTAATTGCAAGTGAGTGTTCAATAAATCAAATTACTGATAAAAACCCAATGTCTAGTCACAAAGAGGTGGCAATGCTGTAAAGAAAGCAGTGAGCATGGTGTGAAGCAGGAGAGAGAAATAAGAAAATTACAAAAAAAAATTGTGATAAGACGTCATGAGGAGAAATAATTCAGGAGACACAGATGGAAATAAAGCAGGTGAATTAAATGCAGAAGAATGGACACAAGAAGAAACAGAGATGTCTTAAAGGTAATAGTGGCTCACATGCTGGTATAAAATGTTCCTAAGAAATTATGTATGCAAGAATAAGAGGAAAGGAGTCAATACTGAAAGTAATTATATATGATGGGGCGCAGAAACTTCGTTTTTGTGAAGACACATTGCGAAGGGAGGGGAGGTTGCAGAAAAGTGGGCATAGGCTCTGCGAACGCAGCAGTCGCAGAAGTTTCTGTCTAATACCCCTCAGTAGGAAACATGAGGTGGATGAGGGAGCAGCGTGTGTTTGCTGTCGAAGCCTATTTTTCGAACAGCGTGCATTCCGTACTCACTTCGGAATTAAGCCCAGAGGTCCGGTTCCCGACTGGAAATCGATTGTTTTGTGGGTAGAGAACTTTAGGACAACCGGGAGCGTGGTGAAAATATCATCAAGATGACAATGGATCATTACGACGCCAGAAAATGCTGAGGCAGTTTGACAGTCGATTTTGAGATCTCCAAGACACTCCGCTCACAAACATGCAGTCGCCCTAGACATATCCAACCGTTCAATGCACCGAATTCTTCACAGATATCTTCATTTCCATCCCTATAACATGGTTGTTGTGCAAGAATTGTCACCACGTGATTTCCAGAACCGAATAATGGCGTGCGAAACGTTATTGAAAACTTTACCCCCTGACGCACTTGTTTTCTTTAATGATGAGGCACATTTTCATCTATCTGGATATGTCAACAAGCAGAATATGTGCTACTGGAGTGCTATCAATCCCAGAGAGCTTCATGAGAGGCCACTTCACAGTGATAAGGTGACAGTATGGTGTGCGTTGTCGAGAGTTGGAGTTATTGGCCCTTATTTTTTTTAAGAAGACAATCATGCAGTTACTGTCAATTCACAGAGGTATGAGGACATGATTAAAAACGTTTTCAAACCAGCTCTTGAAGAAATGCATCTAGGAAATGTCTGGTTCCAACAGGATGGTGCCACGGCCCACACAGCTCGAGCTTCGATGAGAGTTTTGAGGGCAAAGTTCCCCGGACAGCTCATCTCGCTTCAAGGTGACATCCCGTGGCAAGCACACTCACCTGATCTAACGCCCTCTGATTTTTTTATGGGGATACCTCAAGGCAGAGGTTTTTAAACATCGCCCCACAAACCTGCTTCAGCTGAAGAATGTTATTCAGCAGGAAGTAGCCCAAATTCCGGTGCACACGTTGGAACGTGCAGAGGGGAACTTCAGGAAACGGGTGCGTCAGTGCATAGAGAACGGTGACCATCACCTTCAAGATATTTTGTTTAAAACTACATGATTTAAAACTTTAAAGTATGTTTTTTCATTAGCTAAACACAAATTTTTCTATCAGCAATCATTTTTCTTTTATTCGCCCTCAAAAAAAGGAAGTTTCTGCACCCCACCCTGTACCTTTAAAGGGAAGATTAAATACATGTTCATGCCCTCTCACATGGAAGTGTGAGAGAATCATAATATAAATGAAGGTAATAAATTCTTAAATTATGGCAAAGTTAAAATATCTGTGAAAGACAGTAACTAATCAAAAAACATACTAAAGAAGTTAATAAAACATGACTGAATATAGGGAAACATAATACCAGTCAAAAATTTGTATCTCTTGCCTCCTACCAAAAAATGCAATGACTAAAATACATGAAGCAATAATTCTGCCTCTTGTTTCTATAAGGAAGAGTTTGGAACTGCACGTTTATATAACTTTGGTCAGAAAAACCTGAAATCACCACTTAGGAGACCTAAACATAGATGAAAGAATAATATTAAAATAAACAATGTGTGAGGATGTGGAGTGGATTTTCTTGGTTTAGGATATAGTCCAGTGGCAAGCTCCTGTGAATATGATAATCAGACTTCAAATTCCATTAAAGGAAGACTTGACCAGCTAAGATACTATCAGCTTCTGAAGAAGGATTCTGTTCCACAAAGTTAGTTCTTTGTAACATCTACAAAAAAAAATTAATTTATGTGCAATTCTAATATCCTGCAGGTATGTGGTAAATTAATTGGTCAAATCGGTGAAAATGTTATTTAAAAGGCAAGCTATACATACTGGCAGCAGGGCCTGAATCATGTCTCGAATTGTCTGTCCAAAGTCTCTGTAGTTCAGCTGTAGGCACACTGTCTGGTACTTGAGGTTCTTGGCCAGAGGCTCAAGGGCACATGCTGCACCTTCCACTCCAGGCAACATGAACAGTACTGGTCCTTTCTTCATCTCATCTTCTACATCTGCCCAACCTCCAGCTGCTGATGGCAGGTGCACAACAGGCTGTGCTGAAGATGCCTCATCCCCTATCACACTCAGCAACAACTGCAGCCCCTCACTAGGTCCATCATCATCAACAGACGGAGCTACAAACACAGCAGATTCCAGATACTGTACTTGTGAGCTCAAACTTTCCATATCAGAAATTCTGGAAACTTAGANACCAGAACACAGACTGACAATCTTGCCTTCTTTTAATTGTAAAGCAATTACAGTGAAATTAATAGTAAACTGTTTGTTTTAATTAGTTCAGAATATTTCTTGCTACTTCCCCAAAATAAAGACAAAACCATGCAAAACTATATTATTACATTCTTGTTTACATGAATGAGAAACTTGATCCATCACTGTCATGGAAGAATGCACACACAGATGTTTGGGAACAAAACATTGAGGAGAATATTTGGATCCATGAGGAATAAAGCAATATGAAAACTGATATTATTACTAATAATGACCTCATAATCTGATTTTGTCTTCTAATATTATTACACTGATTAAACAAAGAAGGTACGAATGGGCAGGATATGCAGCAGAAGTGAGGTATGGAAATGAGGCATATAAATGCTTCTTGCAAAGTGTTTTCAGAAGAAACTACTTGTGAGAACTAGAACAGATGGGGGGAGGTGGGTAATATTAAATTGAATATTAAAGAAACAGATTGTGAATATGTGTACTGGAATGAGTGCCTCGGGTGAACTACTGCATTCCATAACAACAGATACTCATAGCCAGTTTAATATCTTTCTGTCATTATAGCCAGTCCCTGTGTCACTGAATGAATCACCTTTAAGCTCTGTGTAAAGCTGACCAATACAGGTGCAATGTGATACCTACATGTTCTTAATGCTACTTACTTTTGCCTCCCGTCCCCTAACTCTCATGATGACTGAGCTTATTTATGTCACAAATAATCTCCACTCAGAAGAAGCAATTGTGTACCTTCTGATACCAGTTCTTCCTTCCCCTTTTCAGCCATCTCACTGAGGCGTGCAAATGTCAAGCTGCGGATCTCTTTTGGCGTGAGAAACACTCCAAATTCTCGTTCAAGGGACTGCTTAACTTCCACATTGGTCAAAGAGTCCATGCCCAGCTCTGACAATGTGGAATCTGGACTAATGGTCTTCAGGTTATGAATACCTGCCAGAAAAATTGTTTTATTGTAATAAATTGATCCTGAATTATGGATTGGCATTTTGCCTTTGTGGTTTCTTTTAGAGTACCTAGATTATACAATATCAAATGAGAGGATGATTAAGGACCAAAGAACTGGAAAGGATTTGGAAGAAGTAGCCATCGCATAAATGAGGAACTACCTCAGCATCTGCCTGGATGGACTTTACTGGAGGAAAATTACTGGGCAGGATAGCCAGATTATGAATCTCCACAGAAGTCAGCACAGCAATACAAACCCAAGACAAGCCACTGCAACACACATAACATCCATGATGTGGCACTGAATGCAGCACAACAGAATTTTAACTGACATATTTTAATGAACTTTTAAATATCTTTAATTATTTCTATGAACAAATAATTTAAAAAATTAACATTGAGTACAACTGTGTGGCACAAAATAGACAAAACAGTTGTGGGAACATCCTGCATACTATCACGCTGTTTCACCAATCAATGGACAACACTCACTCCTAAGTCAACAGCACATTGCTGTCAGCTCTCATATTTACACAGCGCCCGCTGTCCAGCTCACTTTTCACCATCATGCGCGCTAACCAATCACATTGCTGCCATCACTCATATTTATACACACTCGCTGTCCAGGCCACATTTAAATCATCATGTGCGCTAGCCAATCACCGCTCATAATAGCAACTGCAAGTTTCGCTCCTCCATCAAGCATGGTATAAAAGGCAGAGCCCAAAGCTTGCAATCATCAGTGACCACATCAGCCAGTCAGCCATCACACCTAATCCAGAGCGATCGGTCTTCAGAGTTATCAGCACTTCACTGCACCAGGGACAGCTGCCTCAGCTCTTTGGTGGTCATGCCCGACTCACTGGGCAACTGCCGCCACTCCAGCGACCGCGCTCCATGACCAGACATCTTCCGGCAACCATGCTCTACGACCAGGCAACTTCTGGCAACTGCTGAACTGCGACCGGGCAACTAACTCAGCTGCCGCAACATTAGCCAACACACCGTAGCCGACATTATTTCTACCAGCGCACGCAGCCCTACTTCACCGGCCAGACAGACCAGCCGAGCGGCCGTAAAACTCTATCTACCACGGTGGAATAAACGGCCCTTTTCAGGGCCCGCAAACTTCCCGAAGTGGTTGTCTATTGGAGTATCAACAAATCCCACACAGTGAAACAATTGTAGCAGGATTTTCATGTACCTGTTGATGGCAGTACAAGTACGAAACTTGCGGTTTACTCATCTTACTGATAAGATGTACATGAGATAGAGAATAAACATTGCATTTAAGATGGTAATACATATGTACAAAACTGTAATATCAATGCAACAGGATGGCTAAGTACAAGACTATTTTTAAAAAATCTGACAGCCTCAAGAGTATTGCTACTCTCACCACTGCAAACTTTACCATGCCTAATCTGTACTGCCAGTTCTCTTTGCCCAGTCTGAGTTTATACATACTTCAGTCAACTGGAAGATCATCTCAAGCAACTTTAGACATACCCATAATACGGCTGACACAGTCCACTACAGTTGCACATCCATCACTTCTTGCATCTTTATCCGCCACAACCATGCTTGACACTACAGGGCACGACTGCCTCATGAATCCTTCAAGCACCTCAAGACATGATACAATTCTCTGTGGTAAGGTGCCTCCTACAAACCACAGAACAAAGCTGCACATCCTTCATACAAAATATGTTTCTTTGGTGCTCTAGTGTTCACTTCTGAATCACATGAATGAAACTGATAAAACAATTAACTGCCCAGTATGATTGCTTTTCAAACCTGATAATATGCAAGGGAGAATTAAACCATGTTAAGGGGAATGCAGTAATGATTACAATTAGAATTACATCACAGTGCTGAGTTCAAGAATTTTCCTAATTATCTATAAATCTTTGTTCATACTTGCCTGAAGAGGTCTTACAAATGCAGCAGAGAAAGTAAAGAGGTGATAACTGCTGCTACTGAATATGGTATTCTACTGTTCGGTGAGGATCCTTATTTTTTTTTCTATCTTATGCATATTTTGTTTAAAGATCATAGGCGTAGTGTGAACATATACTGGAGCAAAGAAAATTACACATTTCTTGCTACTCTGGTGTGATATTAAGGGACAGCTGCCTCAAGATTCTGATGAGTCAGAAAGTTTTTGCAGCGATTTATTTCAAAGTTTGTTTTGTTCAGCGCATTGCTTATTTTGCATACAGGTAGAAGCATGAACTCCATATGTTACTGTGGGGTAATTTATGCCTTAACTTGTCAGTTGTAGTGTCTCAGCAGTGTGATGTTGAACCAAGGGAAGAAATCTATTGCACAGTCACAGCACATATAGGAATACTGCTTTAGAGCAGTGAAGTGGTACAAATGGATAATCATGTTCAAAAACAAAGCACAAATGTCACTGATAAAGTACAGCTGGGACACTCATCCACAGACAGCTACTAAGGGGGCAAGACAATGAACGAGTTCATGCCATGATTCCAAATAACCCACAGGCAACTATTGACTTTTCCGTCACGTTTAAAATATTCTGTTATTAAACCTTTATTCAAAAAAGGTGATAAAAAAGGTATAAAAAATTATAGACCCATATCCTTGTTGACCTCCCTGTCTAAAGTATTTGAAAAAATGATATACATAAGACTTACCAATCATATAAAAATAATAATATACTATCTGTTGAGCAGTATGGATTTAGAAGTAAAGTCTTCAACAGAAAACCCTTCATTTAAATTGCTAAATGATGAAAGCAGTCTTCTGGGATTTGGCACCGTGTATATGTGGTGTTAATGATGTTCTCCAGGCCTTGAACAATAAGTCAAATGTAGGAGGTTTATTTTGTGACCTTGAGAAGGCCTTTGATTGTGTCGATCATAACTTATTAATGGAAAAACTTATGGAATTGTAGATAATGCACATGCTTTAATTCAATCATATCTCAATGATAGATACCAAAGAGTCTGCATTGATGATGATGATCAAACATGTTCTCATACTTTTCAGATTGGGGTAGGGCTAAGCGTGGTGTACCTCAAGGTTCCATCCTTGGCACAATCCTTTTTCTTTTTTACATAAATGATTTACCCAAAGTTGTAAATAATACTTCTAAGCCAGTTTTATTTGCCGATGATACTAGTATCATCGTCAGTAATCCCAATATAGGAAACTTTACAAACGATCTCACTCTTGTATTTGAACAATTGAACATATGGTTTAACTCTAACTTATTATTATTAAATTATAATAAAACACAATATGTGCAATTTCGAACCATCAATGCATTAACAACTCCTATAGATATTA